TGGGAAGCCCATCGGCTTTGACAGGTCTTCTTTCTTAGGCTACGTTCATACAGGTCAGCGTTGAAGCGTACGGCAGCGTTTTAGCGATTCGAGCGACTAGGAAAGTATGGATCTCGATCTAACCGTTCTGAGCGTAATCCAGCGTTTCGAAAGTTTCGCGGGTGTTTTGAGCTTTTGGAGGGCAGTCGATCAGAACGCCGACGCAAAGTATGAACGCAGCCCTAATGATACTGTTTTCATTTAGAATGAGCTCAGTAAGTCTAAAGAATATAATTCAAATCCACATGGGCATTTATTTTGCGTGCCATTCAACCTTTAATGAATTAAACACGCGAACAACCCATATCCGAGGATAGAAAAGGCGTTTTGAAGTATGCTCGACGGCGGCTGCGAGAGTCGAGGCAGAACAGAGGCAGAAACCTGTGTATAAGAGAGGAATGTCGTCAGGGAAATAGGCATCGGACGCCTGGCGTACTTGGAAATGCCCCTTTTTGCTTTCCGATATGTACTGTACGTACTGTACCTGTTGCTCCATTTAAGGCGAACTGTTATTCAACGACGCGAACAATCCTTCGTGCTGCTATACTCATCCTCCTTCAAAGCAAACATCAATCAATGGAGTGCTGTAAGTCGGTGTTCAATTGTTTTATTATGGTAAGTGCTGCTTAACGCCGCAGTTCGGTTATGACAAGAAGGCTGATTTATTGGCAAAAGTCTTGACCTCAGGCGGTACCTGAACCCCCACCTCACGTTTTCTGGGCGAGCGCGGATCTGTTACGTCGCCAGGACGCTCTTACCCCCTCATCCTGATAATCTATTTTCAGTCTTTTATCGTTGTATTTTCTATATAATGACGTGCTTCCAGGAACTACTTGCCAAGGGATTATGTTTTCGAGATGGGCGATGAATATGAAACATCCCGCTTTCAGTGCGATTTATGTGGTCATAGCAGAGAAGGTCTTTTAAGATGTTCAGCATGCGACGAGGTAATCTATTAAACCCCCAAGGAAGCCAGCGACCACTCTATTTGTTTAGAATGGCGATCCTGTCTTGGCGCATGCCAACATGTGCACGACAAGCTGGATTCTTGTTCGAAAGGCGCACCTTATCCCTTCAGTTACTGTCATATTTGTGATCGACACAAAATCCGAAAGGTGATCTCTTCTGTTTGATCTTGTTCCTGATATAAGTTCAACCCTAATTATCTTTTTTTAGTGATTCTGATTTTTTTTACAGAATCTTATGAAATGTTTTTTCAAAGAGGAGTTTATGCGAAATATTTTTATGGAATATTTGCAGTAGTTTTGTGTAGAGCTGTTCGATAATTCTGAAGTGTAAAGCTTGAAAGATACATTGTACGGTTCACTTGCGAGGTGGAATTCTCTATCCCCTCCTGGGTGAATTTGGAGGGCAGGTAGGCTTGCAGCACTAGAAGTGTGTCGTTCCGGCCATTCGCAGTGCGAAAGCAGAGGCTTGGTGACATTTCATGGTTCCTCCTGTTCTCGCTCTCCTTCTATCAGATTTCGTGGCACGCGCGCCATAGCCTTACGCTAGACGCCAGTAATACGTCGAGAGCGGCGCAGACACGTGGAGTGACAGCGTGTGACTTTTGTTAGATATAACAAGACGTATAGGCAAGGTGGCTGGCGTACTTACAGCGTTCCGGAGCGGAGGTGGGGATGCTAAGAAACATCAAACCAGTACTAGTCTTTGCTTGATAGCCGCTTGTACTTTCGAATAGCGGAAATGCTACATTTTTTCTTCTGTAGCTGTCCAGCTCCTGCTCCCCTGAAGGATCCACCTTTCGGGTACTATTATAGTATGTCTATGAGTCGCGGTCGTTAGACGAAAGTATACAATAAATCTTATTCTAGAACGGAGACTAGCAAGTTTGACACGCTCGACAGTGCTTTGTTTTAAATTAGTGTTGTATACTTATAGTATTTATAATTGTACGACGCGCGTCCCTTGGCGCGCATTTTCAGAGCTGTTCTAGTCTCCCTAACTGAAATGGTCTTACGAAAAATGAGATATCCTAACCGCGAACCTGCTCTGGCTGCTCATCTTCAATTAAGCCTAACCATTTTTTCGGACTTTCTCTGGTGAAAAGAGGTGGTATCATGGGACACCTAAACAACGATTCGGTCCGGAAGTTAAGCATGTTGAATAAGGCGTGCCCTACCAGTCATGGGGCGCAGAACAAGTGAAATTAGAACGCTCGCCAGTTAAGATGCTAAAGGTTGCAGAAGAGGAGCTGAAGAATAATCTCTTGTTTTCTCCCATTACCGAAGTACGTTCTCTGGTTAAGGGGCCATGACGCAGAGAAGGACGGTTTTGCTGCTGCCGGAAAAACCCCGGGAAAAAGTTACAGAAAAAAAGTGTTCAAGACTCGGGGATGAGTTTTTTTTTTCTGAGGACAGACTCTGGGGTGGATAAGCTACTTATTATGCGTGAAAAACTTAAATCTGTAAAGTCACAGAATGTCACGCAGGTGTGAGAGCGCAGAGAAAAACAGAAAAAAAAGACGTGATAAAAAAGATTGAAGTCGAGTTGTCCGTTGACCTCACCAAAGTACTCTGGCCGCTTAGTATTTCCAAGTTGTTTCGGCAAAGAAAAGCACCAAATTATTTTATTGATTCATAAATGTGTATTAGTAAGTGAAATATGTGTAAACTGACAAAATGAGTATATTTTCAGACAACCCTTATGAAGTGAAAACATCAGGTCAGGGATAATACATGTTTGAATTTTTCTTTTAAATTTCATATTTGCATTTGTTAGACTTATAGTCTGATACAAGATATCATACGAACTTGAAGAGATGGGGTTGGTTTACAGTGGGACCGCTGATGGATGTGAATTTGGGTGACATTGTGATAGCGTGGATGGACGGTGGTTCTCGGGTACGACAGGGCAGGGTGGAACGTTTTGTGCTACGAACACTGCTAACGATCGACTTTGAAGACGGATCAGTTTCGGAAAACACATTGCCAAGTGACATCGTGCAATGTGGCTGCATACGGCAGCAGGGTTGTCGCGATGGACAACATCAACCTGGCAGCAGGGTGCGTTAGCATGCTAAACCAGCCTAGTTGTACGGGTGTATGTCGGATGGTGCGCAGCGGTCGTAATTGCCACCCTCGCCAGGTCTCCGCATATAGTAGTCTGTACCGCACAACTCGTACACATCACTCAATCTCTTGGTATGATTGATCGCTCTACTTTGGCTGGACGCCAACGCAGACGCTAAATTGCGTAACGACAGCAG